TTTTTTTTTTTTGAACCCGTTTCCAAAGACGTTGGCGACCCAAGAAAGGCTAACAATCTAAAGCAGAATGCAAAAGAATGCATTTCCAGGTTGCTGTTGCTGTTGTTTTTTTAAAGGAAAATGAATTAAAACCCCAGACTTAGGCGCTCCTCCCGTGATAGTGAAGCTACAATATAGTGGGCAAAGCTATAAGAGTGGAAAACGTTAAAAAAAAAAAAAACCGGCCGTGATGGCATGAAAATACAAAACCCCATTCAACATCCTAGCGAGCTTCTTGGCTACTTCATTTCCTCTCCCTCCCTCTCTCGACCTCCCTCGGTTCGCGCCCATCAGCCCACTTGCAACCCGGAGGTTTGGTGAGGTGGGGATAGAAAGGAGAATAAAAATTGCTGCAGAAAACAAGGGGCTTACCGGAATTGTTATCCATGCCTGGGTCTCTCTGTCTCTCTCTCCCTCTCGCCGTCCTCCCGTTATTAGTGCAAACCTGGTTCTCGGGTTGCCAAATTAAAAATAAAAGCGGGGAGGAGGTAGGGAATTCGCCTCGAGGGAAAGAGGGACAGCTGTGAAGAGTTGCGCGTTGGGGTTCGCTTGCTGGCTTTCGTAAGGGGAAGCGCTGGGCTCTCCCAAACCGAGCCAAGAAAAAAAAATAAAAAATAAATAAATAAATAAATACAAAACTAGAAAGGGGGCGATCTGTAGCAAGCCGGCTGTGCGCGATGAGGGAATCCTCCCCGCTGTGCCCCCTCTTCTCCTGCCGGTGTGTGTGTGTGTGTGTGAGAGAGAGAGAGAGAGAGAGAGGAGTGTGTGAGGGAGAGAGGAGAGCGCGCGCGCGTGCTTGCCGACTCCTGAGCCACCGCGCTCTGCAAAATGGTTTGTGCTTCCAGGAGGCAGCAAGTCGTGTTCTCCGCTGCGACTTCCACGTGCTTTTTTTTTTTTTTTTTTTTTGAAGCAAGGCTCGGCAAGAGGCTGAAGCCGAGCCGTCCGTCTCCGTCCCCCCCCCCCCCCCCCCCCGGCCCCAACCCAGTTCCCTGAATTCGAGGCTATGTGGGTGAAGCTTTCCCGCTGGGGTTGGGTTGCTTTTTTTTTCCCTTTTTGCTCCTTCAACTCCCAAGATGAATCGCTCGCTCTTGTTTTCCAGCCAAGGCAAAGAGCGGGGGAGTTTAGGGTCTGGCGTACCTCAGCGGCTGGCTCATGTGTAGCCTACATGTGACAGAATCAAAGGCTTGCCCCACTGACACACATTCGGGCAGCCCAAGCGATGACATCAGCTCCGCGGCTTTGCACATGGGCAGGAGGCGGGGCGGGAAGGAGGGGACGCGGCGGAGCTTGGGGTAGGGAAAGGGTGGGGGAAGGAATTCGCACATACGCACCGGCCTGACACCGTCCCCGGTCGGACGCTGTCGAACAGGAGGGTACAGGCTTTGGCCAGCCTAAAAAAAAAAAAAATGGAACCGGTGAAGCAGACGCTCCGAGCGAGGACAAGAAAATGGGCAGAGGTGAGGCGCACCGCTTTGCGACTTCTGCTAAGTGTGCGTAAGGGACGCTGCAAAAAAAGCACCTCTTATTACAGTCAAAAAACTGCCAAAGAGCCATCAGTAAATAGCCCAACCAAAAAATACATCAGACCGCGAACCCCCCACCCACATAGACAGGCAAGACACCACCAGAGTATAAACTGACAGCAAGCAGCATTTCTTACTAGCACTGATGATGTTACCTACTTAGGGTAGTGAAACGTCTGCAAGAAAACAAGCAAGCTCAGCACCAACCCTAAGCTACAGATATTCTTTATTGGACTCTTATTACCTCATAGAGGTTTTTGGGTTTGCCCCCTTCCTCAGTTCCTTCTGGTGGGAGGAGGCATAGCTTTCTACAGCAGTTTGTTGTAAATCACCCATTTCTTAGGAGAACTGGGAGGCATACAAGTTTCATAAACTTACTTTATTCTGGTTGGTCACACAGTCGGCCAAGGCCCAGATGTTAAAACTCAATTTGGCATTTTTATCAACCGATCGAATCCTTCCCAAGGATCTGGGATAGGCAGATGCTTTGGAAGAAAGCTTGTTGAATTTGTAATGGTACAGCTGTTTGGTGTGCTTTTCTGCATATGTTAGGAAAAGAGAGATAACGTTCTTATATAATTGCAAGTTTTGCCCTTTGGACATGATTCAGCTAGGTTATGGAAAAAGAGTTGTATTGTCTCTGCTAAATACCGTGTTTCTCATATAATAAGGCTGGGTCTTTTTTTTTTTTTTGAGCCCCGAAAAAATGGCTAGGCCGTCTTTTTAGGGGTGACTTAATTCCCCCCCTTGCATCTTCGGGCGGGCGGGCAGCGATGGCTTGGATGTTGACCTCGGCGTTGGTGGGGCACTTCATATCGGGGTCAACGCAGGCAGCACCATATCCGGGTGTGCAACAAAAGTTCTTCCTAACGGCAAGCCCCCCCACCATTCCCCCCATTTCGCATGTTTTAATATAGCCTTAATTTGGGAGGAGGAGCTTAATTTCATTTCATGCCTATAAAACATGCTGGGACTTCCTATTGGGGGAGGCCGTATTGTTGGAGAAACAGGGTATGATTTGTAGTTATTTTCCAGAGAGGGGTTTAATTAGGTTACAATTGTAAACATGTACCTGAATGTATGTTCCATTGCACCTAGTTAGACTTACTTTTGAGGAAATACATGAAGAATTGCAATGGGAATTCCAGGGTTAAAAGAATCCCTTAGTTCTTTTAATTTATCTAGAACTAAGGATGGATACCATCAGCTAAACCATACACAGGAACATCTATTAAAGGTAAACTGATGCACAAGAGAAATTAAAGTCACTCCTATGCTTGCTCACTGCAACCTGAAATGCTATTGAAAGATATCTGTATACCCTAGCTTTGCTAACATAAGGATGGGAAATAGATAGCTTTTGTTCTAATTTCTAAATCCTAGACCACAATCCCTGTAATCCCTGCTAAAAATCTGCCTAATCTTTCCTTTCAGATTTGGAAAAAAAGAAGAGAGATGCCAAAAAAAGGTTTGCTTTTGTTCCTTTGCTTCTCTCCTATCATTCAAGGGGCCCTTCAGTGGGGAAAAAAATGTTTCCTGTTATAACAAAAGGGAGAATGATGACTGGCCATTTTAAGAGCCCACAGAGCCTATTCCAAAGGAATTTGAGCATATTTAAATGCGTTAAGGTTTAAGTGCTCAGAATGGCAAGCATTTTTCCACATAATCACTAGGAATAGAATCTAATGTTTCCTGTTAGTGAAATAAACTTGCTTTACATAAAAACAGCCACAGACATATACACATACATGTGTGTGTGTGTGTCTTCATATATGTGTGTGTGTCTATGTAGATATGTGCATGTCTATGTCTATGTAGTCCTCAGCTTATGACAATTGGGACCAGAGTTTCCATTGCTAAAGTGATTGTTAAAAAGAGTTGCGCTCCGTTTCATGACCTTTTTTTGTTTTGGTTGTTAAGCAAATCCCTACAGCTGTTAAGTGAATCATATGGTCATTAAGCAAACCTGGCTTTTCCCCATTGATTGTGCTTGTTGGAAGTCGGCTGGGAAGGTCGTCCATGGCAATCACATGACCCTGGGATGCTGCAGCCATCATAAATGCATGTCGGTTGCCAAGCAACCAAATTCTGATCCCACGAACATGAGAATGCTGCAACATTCATAAGTATGAGAACTGGTTTAAGTCAGTTTTTTCTTTGCAACTATAACTTCAAATGATTGCTAAACAAATGGTTATAAGTCAAGGACCACCTGTATATATAGTATATATACTAGGATAGGCTAAATGTATTCCTCATGAGCAGATAGGCTGCAGGAAGTTGGCTATTTCCATTTTTCAGTCCACAGCACTCCCCAAGATCATGCTACTGAAATTCAGTGGCTGAATACTGATTTTCAGCAATGCAATTCTTCTTTTAATTAAGTAAGGCTGTAAATAGGTTTATAAGGCCTCTGTGAAGTTATTTGATCTTATTTCTACCTCAAAAGCTGAAAATGTCAATCCATTCACTCCAAGGACATTGTCGCATCTTCCTGCAGTTCTTGGGAATACTTTCCCTAATTTGTTTTGGTTTTTTTAATCATTATCTTCGCCACAAAAATATTATACGTTCTCTGTAGTCCAGTGTGATGTTCTGCCAGTAAGCATCCCCATACTTATGAGAAATCCCCAAATCAATACCAGTAGAATAGAAATTGAGCAGTATAGGGTAACCTTCTCATCAGATAGCAGAAGATGTTTGTTTGTCTCCCTATCTATTTATTTATACATAGATTTTATATGGCTACCGCTTTCGCAGGAATGAATCTGGGAGATAACAAAGGACTAAAACCAAAAAAACCCCCAAACATCATGATTAATAAAAGTAAGCTCAAAACTACCAACATAAAGGGTGCCCTTGACGAGCATTCAGAAGCTGTAATTAATCCAGAATGTAGCAGTGTGGGCAGTTTTGGGGCATTTCATGATACACTCACATATAACATGACACAAACTGTGGTGGTGCAGTGGTTAGAAATGCAGTATTGCAGGCTAATTCTGTTGACTGCCAGCAGTTCAGCAGTTCGATCCTGACCAGCTCAAGGTTGACTTAGCCTTCCATACTTCCGAGGTGGGTAAAATGAGGACCCAGATTGTTGGAGGCAATAGGCTGACTCTGTAAACTGCTTAAAGAGGGCTGTGAAGTAATATATAAGTCTAAGTGCTATTGCTATTCCATAAGCCACTTCTAGGGATCGTCTGAGTGCAATTGAAGATGCTGGTTATCATCTACAAAATAAGACATGCCTGAGCTTTTTTTAAAAAAATCATTCTATAACCAATAAAAAGGCAACTGCCAAACAATGCAGCCAGCAGTTTGTTTAGCACTCCAGCCCAAGTGCCCTGAACCAACGCTTTAACACTGTACAACAGGACAGGGCTGTCTAAAACTAATGGGGATGCTATTCCAACAGGACAGGTGTTTTGACAGTCATGATTTCTACATCCTGCTTAATTGAAGGAATGTAGAGCATGCCCACTTGATTGGCTCAGGTGGGGCAAGCAGAAACAGAGACTAGCAGTTTCACAAATAATCTGATCCTGTGCCTTGGATTTTGTAGATAATAACCAACATCTTGTATTGAACTCAGAAAATCACTAGAAGCCAGCTTGGCTTATGGAGTAGTGGTGTTATATGAGCATTACAAAATGCCCAAAACTGCTTACACCATGGATTAATTACAGCGTCTGAATGCTCATCAATGATACCCTACATACAGCACATTATGGTAATTCAAGCAGGAGGTGAGAAGAGTGAATTACTGTGAGTTAGAGCATCCTGATCCAGGAATGGACACAATTGGTGCACAACATGAACCTGGGCAAAAGCTCTCCTAGCCACAGCTGTAAAATGTAACTCCAAGGCACAGCACTCCCTCGGATCCTTCAACCACTGACCACTGCAGCATATTAAAAGATAAGGCCACCAATTCCACTGCAACACGGGGTATCTACAATAAAATCATTAGTAAAAACACAAATAAAACTACAGGCATCAGGAGAAAGATTATTCATTCTGTACACAATGCAACCCCAGGATTCACCACCCAGTTTAACCCAAGGACTGCGGGAACAGCCAGATGTAAGTGCTCTCTTAATCATGGTCAGAATGGGGTCAGATCAATCTCAGCAGGGATATTGTTCCAGAGAGTGAGCCTGCCACAGATAAGACATACTTCTTAGATCTCAATAGGGCAGCCTATTAGTAATCAGTGCAACTCGTAAAGCAAATATGTTACATGGGCATCATGTGGCATGTCTATAACCAGCGGTCCCCAACCTTTATGGCTTGGCGGTCCCCAGCAGGGAGGAAGAGAGGAATCGGCCCAATGCTCAGACAAATCAACCTGTGCGTGCATGTGTGTGTGTGCCAACCTGTTACACAAGTTGAATTGCACACATGCATGCATGTGCTGGCCAGCCGCTCACATGGCCCAGTTCTGAATGGGCCACAGCCCGGGAGTGGGCTGCTGCCTGGGGATTGGGAACCCCTATCTATAATTGTCTGTGTCAGCGCAATCTGGATCAACTGTAGCTTCCAAGGGGTTTCAAGGACAGCCCCGTGTATAACATATTTATTTTATTTATTTATCATATTTAAGAACCATGCATCTCCCACTCAGAGATCCTGGGCAATGTACAATATTGCGGCAGTCCAGGAATGAGGTGGCCAAAACATGAGCAACTTGTCTGAAGGGCTCCTTGGTTCAGGAAAAAAATACAATTGGCACACAAGATGGATTTGTGCAAAGACCCTTTTAGCTTCAACTGCTACTTTACAGCAGAAGCAATAAATCCAAAAAGACCTTCACACTGTATATTTATCCTGAAGAGGAAACTGCAAACCCATTCATGACTAATATGGAAAATCACCAGTCCTGTAAAAACCCACAATCACTCAGTTTTAGTTAAGGTTGAACCCGTGTCTGTTTTTCCCCATCCAGGCTTCTACAGCCTCTGGATACTGAAGAAGATCATGACATCATCACCTAGTCAGGCTGGAGTTGAGATGTACAATTTGGTATCACCATCATCATCCTTACTGACCACAAATTGATAGATGACCTCATCCAGTGGTTTCATATAGAAGCTAAACAGAATATAGAGCCCTGAAACAACCCACAAATTAGGGGCCTCAGATAATGCTTGAGCAATGGAAAAATGTGGACAAAAGGTTTAAAATTTATATTAAATTAAAAGAAATTTTTTGTAAGATTATATACGGTTGGTACTTAACACTGGATAAATTGTCAAGAATGTATAAAGATAACTCGAATGTTGTAAATGTAAAGAAGGCACTTTTTATCATTTATGGTGGACACATGACAAAGCAAAGAAATACTGGAATAGGATTCACATCTCAGTACATTAGATACTTAAAGTGAATATAAACATAAAACCAGGAAGTTTTAGTTTAGGTTTAATGGTTAAAGAACTAAAAAAAAATTGGAAGCTTGCTGTTATACATGCTGATAGCAGTGAGAATGTTCTGTGTATAAAAATGGAAGGATAATTTGATTCTCACAATGGATGGATGGGGTGGAGTTAGCAGAGATGGCTAAATGGACTGTTTTGATTAAAGAAAAGAATACAATTTTGCTTCTACTTGGAAACCGCTTTTGGATTTTGTACTTGAGGTAAAAAAAAAAGAGGGGGGGGGAACGTAGGTTTTGGGTTTTGCCAATTAGGTTTGTTGTGATAGAAATGGCTTGTATGTATTATTTTATAAAAGTAAAAAGTCAAGGTTTTATTTTATTATCTTATTTTATACGCCAAAGGGAATTGGAAGTCAATGCTTTTCTTTTCCTTTTCCCCTTTCCCCAAAACTTTTTCTTTCCTTTTTCTCTATTTCCCCATTATCTTTATTTTTCTTTGCATTTCTGTATTTTATATTTTGATCAACTAATAAAAATATTTAACCATAAAAATATGGGGGCTTCAGAATAGAATAGAATAGAATAGAATAGAATAGAATAGAATAGAATAG